CAAAAACCAACCAAAGTTCGTCGGTTTCTTGAAAAATAAATTTTGCGGGACTCAAAAATAGTTTCCCGCATTTTTGCGCCAAAGAAAACAGACCAAAGTTGGTCGGTTTCGTAAAAAAAAAAATTGAAAATTAAAATATTTTGAAAAACCGACCAACTTTGGTTGGTTTTTGGCCGATTTTTTTACCGACCAAAGTTGGTTGATTTTTCTTGGTCGGTTTTTGTCGAATTTCTAGTAGTGTTTCTTCCATGTATTCAACTGTTTTCCAAGTGTATACAGTGTGATGCCCAAACCCTCTATTTATAGGATGACATTGAGGTAATACAAATGGATGTCATGAATATGGTATTAAGTATTGAGATCATGGGGGAAGATCATGGAAGGGGTTACGGAGGTGTGGGAGTTACAACAATAATTGTAAGAAGTAGTGGGAGGTTAATGGAGAAGAGTAGTGAGAGTAACTTCTTTAGGAGTTAATAGACATCCACTAATATAATTATAATATTTCATAAAAGTTCACTTTATTTTAATCAATTACTTTTTGTTATCACTATACAACAACGTAAGCCAACACTTCAGCATTTTACAATCCCTAATCTAAGAACATCCATTAGCAATCCTGAAATCATATTCAAAATCTCAAAGTTTATATTATTGGTACATAGTATTTACAGTATTCAAAGAATTTTGCTATGTCATTGACTGTTAGAGTACATAATTGTACTGGTTTCTTCATTTTAAGGTAATACTCCCTCCGTTTCAAATTAGATGAGATACTTTCCTTTTTAGTCTATTCCAAAATAAATGACAGACTTCTATATTTGGAAGTAATTCAACTTTAAACTCTTCATTTTACGCGTAATGAGAAGCTTTTATAACCACACAAATGTTATGGTCCCATAAAGCTTTTACCCCTTAAACTTTTAAGACCGCAAGTTTCAAAAGTATTCTTCTTTTTTCTTAAACTCTGTGCGGAGTCAAACTACATCATCTAAATTGAAACGGAAGGAGTATAAAATTATAAATATAGTGCATTCATGTCCTAGCCAAAAAAAGAATTTTCTACTTTTTCTTTTTGTCACATGTACGGAACATTGTTTTAGTTAGAGCAAGCAGCTTTTCATTCACGTTTAGTCGCATTCTCCTAAATGTATATAGACCTAGAGGCGGCCTATACTATACCGAGAGGCGTCACCAGCACCAGAGTCGGACCCACAATTTGAAGGTCGCAAGTGCATGATTCAACCAAAATCTGGTTTGTATATAGGGTACCCACTATTTATATTTCATTATTTTCTAAAAATATCTACATGTATATATGGAATTTTTGCCGAACTTTACGGATGCCAGTGGCCCCTTTACCTATTACATAGGTCCGCCTCTAACTGGCACCCGTAAAGTTCGACAAATTCTATGTATACATGTATATTTCTTTAAAAAATGGTACTATGTTAGTAGTGGGCACCCTATATACAAAGTAAATTTTAGTTAAATTCGAAAGTGCACCCCGAACTTCAATTCCTGGGTCCGCCTCTGAATTTACACCCAAAATTTTATTCTTCTTTATTTTACTAACATTTATCACAGCTGGGAATCATGCCCTTCAGAGATTGATGGTTAGGTTTGCCTACGTCCATTCATGTATGAAGAGAGAGAGAAGGGCATCCGAATGAACATAGCTGATTTCTGCATAAAATTTCTTTGACCTGAGCTCCTGTTTCCAGCGCAAGAATGTGTATTTATCCACACTAGCATATGTATATATCTATATAGATAGTGGCAAAGAGTTATCTGTTCATATGTACATACTCAAGGTTGGTGGTCTAAGAGAAGAATACAGCTGCGCAAGCAATAGCAAGCAGGAAAAACATAGCTATGACTCTGCATTGAAATAACAGCATGTGTAAAAACTCGCAACAAAAACCTGCATTCTTGTCAATGACCCTCTTCTACACTTCTTCACTGCAACAGCTAGCCCCAACGATGCTGCGCTTGCAAAGGGGACAGGTTGCACTCATATATAGCCATTTATCAATACAAGCACAGTGAAAATGGTGACCACAGGGAAGTTCTCGAAGTTCTTCTCCATCATCATAAGTAGAGAGACATATGGAACATGCCTATTAACAATATATGGACATACTATAAGCATGTTTCCTGAAGCAAATAACACACTAGAGAAAAGATAGAAAAGCAAGGCTACGTACAGCATCATCTGTGGAAAGTGAGTGCTCAATGGGTGTATCTGTCCCACACTGGGTCATGAATCCAGCAAATGTCCCTTGGATCTCACCAGTCCGATTCTCATTACTGCCATTGTGTCGGAAAATGTACTTTGACAGTTGTTCAATATCTTCTTTGTCAGCTCCTTTCTGTAGAAAATATTGAAAGAATTATACAGCAAAAACATGATAAACATGACGCCACAAACATCACTGAAGTTATAGTATGTAAAAATAGGAAATTTCTTATTCCACAATTTTCATATGTCTTGAAGAGAATCTCAATAAGAGAACAGATGTTAATCATTTACAATACCTACTATATTGGAACAATGGGATACGTATAGCTTTTCTTGCAAAATCATGTTCTTGGAATAGAAGCAGAATGATCTTGTTCCAAAATTCAACATCAACCCAATTACCCAATATACTGCCGCTATTGACACGAAGAATGAAGACCAGCACTTTATTGATATTGCCAATTACCTTGGTTAACAAAAAAATTCATGCCGTTTTCTCCTGGAAAGAGCACCCAAGCATCTTCTTTCAGAGAATGGAAAGCATATATCTTCAGGGAAATGAAAGTATGTATCGACCACTACCTCTATACTCCTTTTGGAAATATTACGTTCTGTAATTTTGCTGTCCACCAAGGCAGCTTAATATTTTAAATACAGAAATCAGCTGAACTAAGAACTTGAGCAGCTCAACTCAAGTTAATGAAGCCTCATCTCAAACTTATCAATAGCAGCAAGTAATCAAACCTACATTTCATGATATTAACCCAGTCTATTTACATAGGTTACTCTCGCGAATCTTATTTTATTGCCAGACTACGTCCTCTGTTTCATCCGTCTAGCTCTTAAATGCATTAAGGGCATCATAAAATGCAATCAATCTATGAACGAATAAGAAATTCCATTGATATCCATCTAAGATAACTAGGTGCAAAGGAAGAGCACTTTCACATGAGTTTCATAAGGGAAAGCACTCTATTGGATTGAACCACAAGAAGCTAATTACCATAAAGTATCATTCATTTTATGATACCGATATGACAGATAGCTCCTAATATAGATTACCCGAGAAAGACAAAGTTCCTTATCATAAAAAAGGATACATAAATGAAGTTAAAGAAACTAGAAAAATCATGAGAGCATTACCTGATCAGCTACAGTATATAGAACAGCAATAATACATGGAAGGCAACAGCAGATTCCGAGACCAACAGCACACGCCAACGTAATTAAGAAGACCACAAAGAATACATCAAAAGCCAAGAAAACAATGCAGAGCCTGCATTAAGATAAAGTTATCAAATGATGACAGCTTTGAATTGAGAAATAAACTGAAAATAAAGGTCATACAGTTTGCTTAGACGAAGAATGTTTTCAACGCGTACCAGTATAATTGAGGGGATTCTTGTACCATCCGTTGCCCACCAATACATACCCAATAAAATCCAATGATCCACCAGAGGAATGATAACATTGTATTTGCAGAATCCATATACTTCGCCATGTTACTGTAAAATCTTTCCGAACAAAAACATGTAACACACACCAGCATTGCATATTATAAAAACCATTGCACTGTCTTTGCTTAAGTGAGAAATAATCCTACCATCTATGAGGGAACAAAAGGGAAAAGAAAAAAAGCAACACTGCATTGTACAGAAATTGACTTTAGCTTCCAAATGTAACAGAAATAATTCTACTTAAATATCAGGCTTAGTTCACCAGTTAGGATTTCAACTCGTAACCTGTGTCCACCTCATACATCCTGCGCTGTACTACCTTTGCCATTGAACCAAAGTCCAAGTACAATTCATATATAAATCCCACAGGTTATAACATAATTTCGCTATCATTTACGAATTGGACTGAAATTTAGTATACTTCTTCTGTCCCAAACTATTGACACAATTTCCTTTTTAGCCTTTCAAATAGAATTAACATCTTTTTTATAATTATTTAACGCTAAACGTTCAATTTTGTCCTACAGGGATGGTGCTCAATCAAATACATTCACCATAAATTAATACAGAGGGGGTATTTGAAATTCTACAGAGTACAAAGATATTTAAGAAAATCAAGTAGGAGTTTCAAATTCTTGGAGAATATACCTTGATCTTTCGGGGGTTAATTCAGCCAAAGTAACGTAACCACTAGACCCAGTCAAACCCTGAGCAGAGCTCCCAAATGCCTCCTCCGGTGATTGCCCATATCCTCTTCTCCGATACTCCAAAAAAACACAAACAATATGAAGCAGGCAAAGCAAAGAGTAGCCAACGACCCAAATCCTCAAAGGCATTTCTGGGTCCTCTTCTCTACTGAAGAATAAGACAAAACACGCAACAATGATGTATGCGAAGTTCCATAGGAGGTCAATAATCACAACGGGCTTAGAGTAAGCCCAATTACTTTGCCTATCATTGACTTGCTGATCAGATGGTTCACGCATCATTAACCCACTTCTGTTGCTTGCTCTTTGGAATACACGAATTGCCTCTCGAAGGCTGTGGCGACGGGGTGATCGCAGGTTAAAGGATTCATCGTTTTCGTTGGATCTTAGTAATGGTGAATTTGATGAAATGGGTGAAAACATTTTCTTCTCATCAATAATTGGAGTAATTATGTATGATTTTAAAGATATTTGTTGAATGAATGATAGATTGGTGGGGGTTACTGAAATGGGTAGTAGAAGAAGACTAGTTCGGTATTGGTTGCGGTTTAACACGAGGGAGCCAATTGGGATATAGTATATGGTTTGTGCCAAATGGAACAATCAGATATAAGACTGGTTTAGCAGTATTCGGATACTACAACATAATAAGTAGAATATTTTCTTTTTCTCCTTATTTTATCCTTATCTGATATTGATGCGTTTGGAAATAAACTTTATCTAAAAAAATTGAGTATTTAGTATGATTATTTAATTGGAATAATTTCAAATACTGAAGTTCAGTATTTGAAGTTCTAAGACAATATTTACAACGGGAGGCACATAGCTCACCCTTTTTCATGCATCCACCATCCAAGGAGAACAAATATGTATAAGATAGATTGAAGAGGAATACCGTTGAATATGAATGTTTAGTGTGACAATTGGTTAAAGTTGGAGCATGAAAACTAATCGGAATCCTTATATCCTGTTTAGATATTGTTGGGTTTTGGATGTGTTTAATTAATATATTAAATACTTAAAAGAGGGTGAATGGGAAATGGAGAGAAATAAAATTTTTGAGTGAAATTTTAAGTTCCCCCTTGGCAAATGGGCATTGTCCCATATTGGAAGAGGAAGAGGTTTTTATGGGTATATAAGCAATTGCTCTTCTTCTAGCTCTTAAAGAGTTGAGAAGAAGGCAAGCCTCGCGCCGTCGTCGTCGTCGCTCGCTCGGCTTCGGCTTCGGCTTCGGCTTCGGCTTCGGCTTATTTGGATTTGGTCAAATGATTGATTGATTAACTTTTTGGACCAAATTTATTTGTTAATAGTAAAATATTAACAGAAATGTTATTAAATATTTGTTTTAATAACAAAATATTAATATTAAATCCAATCCGTTTTTCTGTTTTGGTAACAGAAAAGTAACTACCCTCTTCAATTTTCCCTCTATATTTTCAAACAGCCATTCTGAAGAGTTGCACCTCTTCAGATTTCAGCCTAACTTTGGCTATAAATACAACACTATTCTGCTCAGAATTTCACTACGATTTTCTGAGTTTCTTCTCCTTCTTCTGCATACTTTTAGCATCAAACAAAGCAAAAAGTAAGTGTGATTTGCTACCGAACTTTGTGTTCGCTGAAACACTGGGGTTTGAAGTACCACTACACCAGTGTGTAATTCGTTCTATCCTGGGAGGAAATAATCCATAACCTTGGGTACTAGGAGGGGATTAAATTCCTTAAGAAAACACTGTGAATTCAGTGGGCTCGAATTGGTTTTATGTCATTTCTGTTTATGTTCATTATTTCTGTTTATACTCATTTATATTTCCAGAATTATTTTACAAATACAGTCTAGTAACAAGCTTAAGGGATTTACTTTGATATCTGTATTTGTACTTACTGTTTCTGGAAGAGTAAAACCTTTGTGGTTTTGTACTCTATTAAAATCTACGTGATTTTAACGTTTGTGTCATTCTTTTACAGAAATGACTAATGAAAATGAGAACCAAGCTGTTCCAATGGTGACTGCCAATGCCTCAACAAGTCGAACGACACCGGCAGCATTGGCACCGGCGAAGAAACCCGGAAAATTTTCCGGGATTGATTTCAAGCGCTGGCAGCAAAAGATGTTCTTCTATTTGACTACTCTAAGTCTCGAGAAGTTCATCAAGGAAGATGTTCCTGTGCTGTCCGACGAAACTCCAGAAACTGAACGCTTTCTCGTGATTGAGGCGTGGAAGCATTCAGATTTTTTGTGCAAGAATTATATTCTAAGCGGGCTGGAGGATGCTTTGTATAACGTCTACAGTGGCGTGGAAACGTCAAAGGAACTGTGGACTGCGCTTGAAAAGAAATACAAAACCGAAGATGCCGGGTTGAAAAAGTTTGTTGCTGCAAAGTTTTTGGACTACAAAATGGTAGATAGCAAGTCTGTTATTACCCAAGTCCAGGAAGTGCAAGTGATTATTCACGATCTCCTTGCTGAAGGTATAACTCAAATTAATATTGATGTTGAAAGTAGTAATCTTGGTATTTTTACTAATAGAAATTTCATTGGAGGTCTTGTTATCAATGAAGCATTTCAAGTAGCAGCGATGATTGAGAAGTTGCCTCCTTTGTGGAAAGACTTCAAAAACTACTTGAAATACAAACGCAAGGAGATGTCCCTTGAAGATCTCATTGTTCGGTTGAGAATCGAAGAGGACAACAAAGCTGCTGAAAAGAGAGGCCGTGGAAACTCAACAATAATGGGAGCAAATATTGTTGAAGAGAATAAAAAGAGGAAGAAGGCTTCTGGACCGAAATACAACCCAAGCAAGAAGCGGTTCAGTGGAAACTGCTACAACTGTGGAAAAACTGGACACAAAGCTACGAAGTGTCGTGCTCCAAAGAAAGACAAGAAGAAGGGTCAAGCAAACATGGTTGAAAAGCGTGATGATGTTGATGATTTATGTGCCATGCTTTCCGAATGCAACTTGGTGGGCAATCCTAAAGAGTGGTGGATTGATTCTGGAGCCACTCGCCATGTTTGTGCTGTTAGAGAAGCTTTTGCTTCTTATGCTCCTGGTGGACCCGATGAGACGATTTCTTTGGGAAATGCTTCAAAGGCGAAGATTGAAGGATGTGGGAAGATATTTCTCAAAATGACTTCCGGCAAAGTGGTGACTTTGAACAACGTCCTTCATGTTCCCGAGATTAGGAAGAATTTAGTCTCTACTGGACTTCTTGTTAAGAATGGTTTTAAATGTGTTTTTGTTTCCGATAAGGTTGTAATAAGTAAGAATGAAATGTTTGTAGGAAAAGGTTACCTCACTGAGGGCCTTTTCAAGCTGAATGTAATGGTTGTTGAAAATAATAATAAAATTTCAGCTTCGTCTTACTTACTTGAGTCAAATGAATTATGGCATATACGTTTGGGTCATGTCAATTATAAAACCTTACGGAAAATGATTAATTTGGAAGTATTGCCCAAGTTTGAATGTGACAAATCAAAATGTCAAGTATGTGTGGAATCAAAGTATGTTAAACATCCTTATAAGTCGGTTGAAAGGAATTCAAATCCTTTAGACTTAATTCACACAGATATTTGTGACATGAAGTCAATACCATCTCGCGGTGGAAAAAAGTATTTCATAACTTTTATTGACGATAGTACTCGATATTGCTATGTTTACTTACTTAATAGTAAAGATGAAGCAATAGACGCATTCAAGCAATACAAAAATGAAGTTGAAACGCAACTTAATAAGAAAATCAAAATGATAAGAAGTGATAGGGGTGGTGAATATGAATCTCCTTTTGAACAAATATGTTTAGAATATGGAATTATTCATCAAACAACGGCCCCTTACACGCCCCAATCCAATGGGATTGCAGAAAGAAAGAATCGTTCATTAAAGGAGATGATGAACGCATTATTGATAAGTTCTGGTTTGCCACAGAACTTGTGGGGGGAAGCCATTCTTACGGCTAGCCGAATACTAAATCGAGTACCCCATAGCAAAACACAATCCATTCCATATGAAAAATGGAAAGGAAGGAAGCCCAACTTGAATTATTTTAAAGTGTGGGGGTGTTTGGCAAAAGTGCAAGTTCCTAAACCCAAAAGGGTAAAAATAGGACCGAAAACCGTTGATTGTGTTTTCATAGGATATGCGACTAATAGTAAAGCATATCGATTTCTGGTTTATAAATCAGAAAATCCCGACATTCATAATAATACGGTTATAGAATCAGATAATGCTGAGTTCTTTGAAAATATATATCCGTATAAAAAGGAATGTGAGTCGATTGGTGAAGGATCTAAACGACCCCGGGAAGAAACGAAAAAGAAAGTACACTTAACCAAGAGGAATCAAGACGTAGTAACGTCAAAGAACGTCTACTTCATTTGGACCAGATTTTGTGACTTTCTTATTGGAAAATGAGCCTCAAACATTTAAAGAAGCTATGTCTTCTTCGGAATCATTGTTATGGAAAGAGGCGGTCAATAGTGAAATAGAATCCATACTGAACAACCATACATGGGAATTGGTTGATCTTCCTCCTGGAAATAAACCGTTGGGTTCTAAATGGATCTTTAAGAGGAAAATGAAAGATGATGGCACTATTGACAAGTATAAGGCAAGACTTGTGGTCAAAGGGTATAGACAACGAGAAGGTCTTGACTATTTTTGATACATATCTCCAGTTACAAGAATTACATCCATACGAACGTTAGTAGCGTTAGCTGCAGTTTATGGTCTTGAATATTCATCAAATGGATGTTAAGACGGCCTTCTTAAATGGAGAGTTGGAGGAAGAAATTTACATGGAACAACCTGAAGGGTTTGTGGTTCCAGGTAAAGAAAAAGAGTCTGTAGACTTGTTAAGTCCCTTTACGGATTAAAACAAGCACCCAAACAATGGCATGCTAAATTTGACAAAAACAATGTTGTCAAATGGATTTAAGATAAATGAATGTGATAAATGTGTGTACATTAAAAATGTTCCAAATCACATAGTCATTGTTGCTTATATGTGGATGATATGCTCATAATGAGTAATGATATTGCCAATATAAATGCTACTAAGCGTATGCTAACTAGCAAGTTTGATATGAAAGACTTGGGAGTTCTGATTTAATTCTGGGAATTAAGATCCATAAGACTTCTCAAGGTCTAGCATTGTCACAATCTCATTATATTAAGACAGTACTTGAAAATTCAAGCACTTGGGCTTTAAAGTTGCAAAGACTCCAAATTGATGTGAATCTTGCATTAGCAAGAACAAAGGCCAGAGCATATCACAATTGGATTATGCTCGTGTGTTGGGTTCTTAATGTAATCATGAATTGTACACGACCAGATATAGCTTGTGCTATAAGTAAATTGAGTCGATATACGAGCAATCCAGGCCAATCTCATTGGATGGCCATGAAACGAGTTTTGGGGTATTTAGTACATACCCAGGACTTTGCTTTGCACTACAATAAATATCCTGCGTCATTGAGGATACTGTGATGCAAATTGAGTAACCGATCAACTGATTCCAAGTCCACAAGTGGATATGTATTCACTATTGGTGGAGGAGCGGTATCTTGGAAGTCATCCAAACAAACTTGTATTGCCCGCTCTACAATGGAGGCTGAGTTCATAGCCTTGATAAAGCCGGTGAAGAAGCTGAATGGCTCCGAAATTTCTTGGAAGATATTCCATTTTGGCCCAAACCGTTGGCACCAATATGCATACATTGTGATAGTCAAGCGGCAATTGGAAGGGCTGGGAGCGTTATGTATAACGGTAAGTCTCGCCATATACGACGAAGACATAAAACGTTAAGACAATACTCTCTAGAGGAATTATCACGATTGACTATGTAAAGTCAAGTGATAATGTGTCGGATCCACTTACAAAAGGCCTAACTAGAGAGGTAGTTGAGAAGTCATCAAGGGGAATGGGACTGTGGCCGAGAACAAG